CGTCCCCGCACATCGCCGCACATCGCTGCCCTCCCCTATGCCCCCCGGGCGAAGTCCACACATCATGACCGAGGGGCCTGCCCAGCGGTGTGGAGCCTGGGCAGAGCGGGGGGGGGGGGGACGGGGAGGCGCCCTGCGCATGGGCGCAGGGAGCACGGCGCCCGCGGACCCGCGTTCGTCCCCCGGGCTCTGCTGAGGGGGGACTGGGCGCAGCCAGCCGATCGCAGCCACACACACACACACGCCCGCACCGGCAGCCGGCTTTGTGCCGGGAAAAAACAACAATAATACAGGAGGGCATATGTGTTTTTGTCCGGGCCTCCGCCCCCTTGTCCCGTTCCCATCGCCCGGGCGCACGGGACGGCCGGGCCCCCCCCCCCCCCCCCCCCGGCCCCGGTCTCCACAGCTCAAACCGAGGGCCGGATCAACCGTCTTCTGGCACCTTCTACGCGATTCCGCCACTAGCCTGGGTGCTGCCCCCCGGGGAGGGGGGGAGGGGGGTGCCCCGGTGCCGGTTAAAGGCCCCAGGCCCCGGCCGATGTGCCCCTGGCCCAGGCTGCCCTCCTCCCTCGGCACAATACCCTCTGACCGCCCCCTCCGGCGGCGTCGCCTCCCGAGGGGGATGTGTGTGCCCCGGACCGCCTCCCCCAAGCGGCGCCCCCCCCCCCCCGCCCCCGGGGAGGGGAGGCAGAAGACAGACAGCGGGCGGGGCCTGCGGAGAAAGGCGACCCGGGGCGACATGGGCATCCTGGAATAGCAGAACCCCGATGCACGGAAATGCCTCACGTGCATGCACATGATACGCCGGTAACGGCCGCCCCAGTCCTAGGCCATGGGGGCCGGGGATTGCGTGCTACTCGTGGCCCCCGCCCCGCCTCGTGCTCCGGCCCTCTTTTGTGTCTCGGTGCGGGCCCGCCGCGCCCATAATACGGGCCCTCCAGCGCGCCCGGACTGCGTCGTGGGCCGCTGTCGCGCCGGGCCGCGCCGGGCGGGAAGGCACTTGGGCGAGACCCGGCCACTTGCATCCGGTCCAGGCTTCTGTGCCGAATCCCCCCCCCGGTGGGGCAACTGGCGTTTGCCAGGGCGAGCCGGCCAGGAGGGGAGGCATGTGTGCGCAATGTTGCAGGGCGCGTTGGTGTGGCGGCTGTTGCCGGTCCCCGCGTCTCTCACGAGGCCGGCACAGGAGGCCAGGCCCGGGCGGGCGGCGGTGTGCCAGCACCGCGCGGGTCCTTGCCCGAGGGAGAAGCATTCCCGCTTCCACTCAGCAGGGCAATATGCCCAGGGGCGGCACGCTGCGGGATAGGGGGGGGGGGCGATCAGGCCCGGGGGCGGGGGGGGGGGGGGGGGGGCGCCCGCGGCCGATGCTCGCCCCCGCGTGTTGCCCGATATATATATACGACCTTCGCCGGGTGCGCGTGGCGCGTGCGTCGCGGCAAGCGCAGAGAGGTGTTGGCGTGGTGTGCGTGTGTGTGTCCATTTTGTGAGCCCGGCGCGCTGGCCGGAGGGACCCTCCGGCAGTTTTTGCTCCTCCACGTGTGGGAACGCCCCTTTGTCCCGCGGTCCAAGGTCCTCTCCAACCGCCGGGCGAGCTCCCCCCGGTGTCCTCTTTCGCCAGGGAGACACATATGCGGTGTCTGGGGCCGCTCGCCGACATGCCGCCCCCCCCCCCCTCTCTGGCCCGGGAGAGGGACGAACGCCAAGCAGACCCGGGGCGTCTGGGTGCGCGCGTGCACGCCAGCCGGTCGGAGAGTGCACCTCGCAGGGACTAGGCCCTGGGCCCCGGGTCGGCCCGGTGTAACCGCTCGGGCTGTCCGTGAGCCACACACTCCTCAGAGGGCTCCGGCGTGCGGGCCCGGGGTTCGCCCCCGCCCCCCCCCCCCCCCCCGGGGGGGGGGGGACCCGGGGAGAAGCACGAGCTTGGCCCGAAAGAGGGGGCAACCGAGGCGCGGAGGGCGCACGGACACGCCTGGCATGACCATTGGGCGCGGGGCATGCACGCGGTCTGGGCGAGCCCGCCCTCGGGACGGGGGGGGGGGGCAGGCGCCCCAAAGTAACGGCAATCGCGGGGCCGGGCGCTCGGGCGCGGGCTCTCCTCCGCGTTCGGCCAACTCTCGCGCGCCATAGCCCTCGTTCGGGCGCGCGGGCGGCCATCCATCGCGGGGCCCGGCGTCCGGGCACCGGCAGGCCGGGGTCGCCTCCGGCGGGGCGCCCTGAGCCGCCGAGCGAGGGCCGGCCGGGGAA